ATACCCCTAGATGCAGATGGGGTCTTCTGGGCCCCCTAAGAGCCAGGCCTGCTAAATCCCACTGGGAACAGCAGTCTGCGTCACCCGCCGGAAGTGAGCCTGGTTGAGCCACCCACAGGTCACCTCCTGGGGTCCAGACACTGCCCCCAGGCTCGGGGGTGACGGCCAACAGGGGCCGAGGCCGATCCCACAAAAAGGCAGAAGCCTGGACAGGCAGGACTTCTTCCCCCGGTTCTTAGAGTACTTGAACGTGTTTTTTTTTTTTTTTAATTTTAGTGTTTGAGAGACCAAAAAGAAAACAACCACCAAAGGTAAAACAGATATGAGTTCCTGATGCAGAAAGATTAGTTTTCTTCACCTGATTTCCACTAGTCTTTTGTTAGTGCTCCTCAGGGGTGTGGAGGTGACTGCCCAGTCTCCACGGGCAGGCCGGTTTCTCCCCAGGGCAGGCAGGGCAGACTGAGGCCCCGCCCCGCCCCACCCTGCCCATGCCCGAATACCGCACCAAGTCCGCTGATTTTATCCCTCCACACACACACTCCACAGCTGCCCAACACTGGTTCTGGCTGTCCTCTGTGCTGCAGAGACAGTTTCCACGGGACCAAGCGGACAGGAGGCGGTGCCAAGTCCCCACCCCACCCCACCCCACACATGGGCTCCTTTCAGCTGCTCTCCGCAGTCCCACCCGTTGGAGAGAACATTCCAGAGCAACGACCAATGACCCCCCCACCCCACCCCACTCCCGCATCCCCACAGCCCTCCTTGCTGTCGGGATCACCCAGTACCAGCGCAGGAGGACCTCACCCGGGCCCCCGCGTTTGTCCTTTCTCTGGCTTGACCGTCTTCCCGTCTTTGATGTTATTTCCCCTTTAGTGGAAAGAGAAAGAAGCGAACCGGAGGCAGTAAACAATGCCACGAGCACCTGACACCGGTCTGCAAACACTGCTCTTGATATCCATGTCTGTGGCAGAGTGTCTCTGTGTCCTGCATGGCAGACCACTCTGTGCCACGGACAGGGACCACATGGAACCCCAGGTGGTGGTAGGGGAGGGCGACCCCTTGTTGGCACGGGGGTGGGAAAGAGCCTCCCAGGCAGAATCCAAGACTGTTGCTACCAGCCACAGCTGGCTCTGCACCCGGGAACTGTACCTGGGATCTGGAGTGGGCATCTGTACATGGGATATGTGCATGGGATATGTACACAGGAGCTCTACATATGATCTGCACTGGGGATCTGTACATGGGATGTATACATAGGCTTGGAGCATGGAATCTGTACATGGGATATGTGCTTGGGATATGCACATGGGATCTGTACATGGGACCTGTACACATCCTAACCAAGAAGCTGATGCAAAAGAGAAAGTATCCAAGGTTGAAGAGATTTTGACAGAGCACAACAATGTCTGTGCCTAAACATACCACCGACGTGATTTCAAAATCCAGCACGTCCCAGCCAGGGAGGCAGCTCCGAGGGCTGCAGTACGTGCTTGGCGTGCAGGAGGCCTGAACGTGAGCCCTGGCACTGCATGGTCCCCCAGCCACAGAGACGGGAGGGAGCACTGAGCTGGGGGTCGCCCTCATGCTCCACCGGGTATGGCCCCAAAACAAAAACAAGAGAAACCAACAGCGCAAAGCAATCAATGCTCTTACAATAATTCCATGCCAGAAACTGCCTTCTGCAGGCAAGAATCACTGGGCAGAAAGATGAATCCTCTCTGGTCTTGCTTCCCGTCCCTTCAGAATGCAAAATCTGCTTCAAACTTGTGTCACCGTCCTGTTTATTTGGGTATAAATAAAACATATCTTTTCCATCATCAATAGATCTTTCTAGCTGCTGGACATAAAATAGATTCCTAACTTCCTAAATTGAAATGCCGTCTTCCTAATCAGAATTGACAATTGTGAATAACCATCTGGCCGGGCTCTTTTCCTTGAAGCCTCCTAGCCTGACTAGCGCAGGAGCAAGTTGTCTGCATTCCTGATAGTGAGCTCAAGCCCGGCTGGGCCCCAAGGCCCGAGGAAACCATAGCCGTTCTGGAAGGGAGACCCAAGAGCCAAGTGCAGCAGGGAAGGACATGGCGCCCTGGGGCCAGCGGTGGGAGGTGGGGGGGGGGGGGGGTGTTCCTCCTTGTCCATGTTTCTGGTTTCTGCCCCAGCAATACACATTCCATGACCCCGACATACTCCAACTCCAACTCAGTATCTGAGTAAGCAACTTCTGTTCTATGGGCCACTGTGCAGAAACAGACAAAAAGCTACACAGTCTGCTGACTCCCACAGCTAAATATTTTTTTTTTAAGTAAGAATAGGTTTGTTTTGTTTTTTATCAAAATCAGTACATAGCCGGTCACTGTGTCCTTTCAGAAGGCCGTGGACGGTGGGGGTGTGTTAAGATCTCCCTTTGAGGCCCCTCTGCCAGTCCCCGCCGCCCCCTGGAGGGAATATGCCTGCCCCGTTCTTGACCTTTAACTAGTAGGCCGATTCCTTGGCTAACTTCTGAATCTCTGTCATAGGAACTGGGCCCCCGCAGGTGCACTCAGCACCACTGACCACTGAGCCACGAACAGTAGCTCTGAGGGCCGCAGGCCAACAGAGCCTGGGCACCCTTCTGCCCAGGTCTCCTCTCCCGGGACCAGGAGCTAATCGGGATGGGGCATGAAGACCAGCCAACTGGACTCTCTTCCTGCCGACAGGAATCCTGGGAGTGAACTGTCATGTCCACTTCCTGGGCCTCCTGCCCCGTCTGAGTCCTCTGCTGCCGTGGCGAGGACCAGTGTCCGGGCTCCCTGCCTGCTGGGACTCTCATCCTTTGCATCTTCTCTCTGTCCTGCTTGTAGCACATACCCCTGAGTGCTCCCCATCCCGAGTCCTCCTCCTCCTCCTCCTCTCCAAACTCCACTGCTGGCTTCTCCTCCGGGCACCCCTCTGCTCATCCCCAAGGGCAGTCCTGCACCCTGGCCCTTCTCAGACCCACCGAGTCAATCTCTGAACACCAGAGAAGGAAGTCTGCGGGTCTGTCTAGAGGGTTTCTCCTCTCTGCGCTAAAGCAGGGACGGCTGTGAAGGCCTTGCCGGCTCTGGCTCTCGCACCTGGGTCTTCCGGGGGATGGTCAGTTAACTTCAGTCCATCAAGTTTAACTTTAATTCCGTCTCCCACCCCCAACCCCTGCATGGTGCATGGCAGTGGCATGTGCCTCCCACCCCCAAGAAGAAAGGGGGACAACAAAGCCCCCTTGCTGCGAGGGCTTTGTGAGCCATTTAAGTTGATTTGTTAGGAAAAATTGATCGTCACTCTCCCCAGATGAGTCATCCTCCCTTTGTCTGAGCATTAAGCAGCATTCCTGCCTGCCTTTTTCCCCTTGCACACAAAACTCATCAGCGCAACAATTCATTTTCTCTGTGAGAGAAGACAGTCGTATTTCTCTGCTCCGTCTCTGGGAAAGTCCAGGAGGAGGCCCAGTGCCACGGCCTCTCGGTGCCCTGCGGGACTGTAATTGCCACACTCAGAACATCTTGCATTTAGTCTCGAGTTTCAGAAGTAGCTGGGGAAAGGTCTCAGGCCTCGCTCTCTCTTCTGCGTCTACCTTTTAAGTAAGAGTAATACTTGGGGGCTGAAAGTGGGGTCTGACTGAAGCACGAGCTTCCGCTGGCAACCACCTGCCTGCTTGCCCGTGAAGATGACCCAAACCTGAGCGCGCACCTTATCCTCCCGGCCCTCGGCTCTGCTCGAGGTGAGCCTACCCAGAGCCTGGCACTCTGCAGGGGCTGGCGAGGACCCGCCCTCTGGGACAGTAGGCACTGTACAAGCCTCAGGCAGTGTGAAGCCACCATGTCCACTGCTGGGCACAAATGGGGCGGGGGCCTCCCACACTGCCCAGGCCGGGCTCCCCTGCACTCAGTGGGCCAGTGGGCACACACACACACACACACACACACACACACACACACACAGTCCTTTGCCCTGCAGAATGTCAGAGGCTGCGTGGCCACCAGCCCACAGAGACCCACGCTCAAAAGTTCTTCCCTTGGGGAGTGTGAGATGCACCTGAAGGGTCGCCCCAAGACTCCGTAAGGCTCAGGGTTATTTGTATCCTCCAGGCAGCCCACTGGGACTGCCCTCCTGCCTGGACATAGGACCCAGCACTAGCAAGTGATGGGAGCCCCTTGGGGAAACCATACAGCTGATGGGCAGTAGCCAATCAGAGACACCCTGATGATAGGCGGTCACCAAGCAGAGACACTCAGTGACAACCAGTGCTCAATCAGAGCTGCCCCACTTGTAGCCAGTACTCAATCAGATAGCAGCCAGTAGCCAACCAGAGACACCAATTCCTCCAGCCCACCTGCTCCCCTACAGGTGGGAACCATCAGGCGGCCCTCAGCTGAGCTCTGGACGGGCCTTGCTGGGACCCTGAGGCACTCAAAGACCCCGAAGGACATTCCTTATCTGAGTCCAGGTGGACTCCGGGGCACCACCTGGCTGGCCTGGGCAACCCCAGTACTGAGTCCTTGGGCCTCGCTCTGGACTCCCATCCAGGGGGCCAAGAATCCCCAGGAAGGGCTCCTGGGCCCAGTCTTGAGGATCCTGCAGAAAGGAGGGGGACTGCCCAGCGCGAGCTCTCTCACATGCGCCCCACCTCCCTGGGCTCTGCTGGGCCTTCCCTGAGCTCTCAAGCTCCAATGTGCTCAGTCCATTTGGAGTGTTGGCGACCAGTCTCCAAACTCTGAGGTGGAGTCGTGTGAAAGGCAGGGCCGGAGAGACAGCACAGGAGATAAGGCACCCGCCTTGCATGGGGCCAACCCTGGTCTGATTCCTCACCCCCTATGGTCCCCCTGAGCAGCGCCAGGCATGATCCCCGAGTGCAGAGTCCTGAGCACCGCTCGGTAGAGCCCACAGATTGTCCCTAAAGTCGTTTTTAAAGTAAAGTGAAGGGGAAATACCCGGCTCCGGGGGAGCTGTAGAAGAGTAACGGCCTCTCTGTTGTTTGCATGGACCAGTGAATTCCGGAGATGGGATTGACTACAGCCAGCAGAAGAGGGAGAACATCGGCGACCTGATCCAGGAGACGCTGGAGGCCTTCGAGCGCTACGGAGGGGAGGATGCCTTCATCAACATCAAGTACATGGTCCCAACCTACGAGTCGTGTTTGCTGAACTAACGTGGCCCCAGCCTGGCGTGAGAGCAAGGCCACCTGCATGCCCCGGTCATCTGTGTCTCATTGTTTGTGACTTCTTCCATGGCTTTCGTTTCTCCAGCTGCCGAAATCGTGGCCCCTGGACCATTGGCCTGATAGCCCAATTGAGAACAAGGCTTTCCAAATCCATAAATAGTGCCTGTTTCTTAGATTACAATAGTGTACTGTGCTTATTTGTTCTCAGAGAAGAATTGCTTCTCTATGTGGCTCACACAGACGCAGGAGACCCAGTTCAACCTTCAGTTGTATAGACAATAAAACTCTAATTTTCATAAGCAACTCAGCAATCGCATCCTGTGTCTGTCTGCCTGAGGGTGAGGTCAGAGGGTGGCAGAGAAGAGTTTGGGGTGCCAGTGCCACAGTGCTCTTGAGGGGGGAGGCACCCCGCACCCCAGGCCTGCTCGGGCCGCGGCCATGTGGAGCTGTGTGTCCGGATGTTCAGGCCCAGCCTGGGGCATAGACCCAATGACACGCAGCCCTTGGCAGCACTGCTGAGAGCCCCCTGTAGGCACGGACTTACCCGCTGGCCCCGTGATCTGGATTTGCTGGGCTTGCCCACTTCTTCTGAGGTGCCAGGGATGGAGCCAGACAAGACCACAAAGACCAGGGCACGGGGTAGAATTAGGCAAAGGTGACTTGGAAAGATGTCAGCTTGAGGGCTGGTGTGATAGCACAGCAGGTAGGGCGTTTGCCTTGCATGCGGCCAACCCGGGTTTGATTCCCAGCATCCCAGAGGGTCCCCCGAGCACTGCCAGGAGTGATTCCTGAGTGCATGAGCCAGGAGTAACCCCTGTGCATCGCTGGGTGTGACCCAAAAAACAAAAAACAAACAAAAAAAGACGTCAGCTTGAATTCTTGCCCACAGTTTAGGGACAGATACTCCACAGTCTCCGGGACCCAAGTGTTACAGAGAAAATGCTCCTGGAAACCTGGGGACCCTCAGGCGTTTTTCCCAGCATGATTTCCACTCATCCTCATGGTGGCCCCTTCAAATTAAGCCAACTGTGTCCCTGGACAATCCCCCCAGCACACACACACCTCCGCCTCCCCCGCTGAGTAGAGGGTTCTCACAGTCACGACCCAGGTCTATCGAAGTCCATGAGAACCAAGGACTGGCGTTCTTGCCACTTGACACCTCACACAGCAACACTTCACTGGGAAGTGGGGAGGGGATGGAGGCAAGCCCAAGTGTAAGGCGGTGGGCCTTGGCTGCAGGCTGCGAACCGGCACCACCCCCCAGCATCCCCCCCTCCTAGACCTCCTTCTGCGAGAACCCAGTACGGTACCCCACCCCAAGGTCAGTCTCCCTGATTTCGGAAGACTCAGCTGCCCCAGGCAGGCGGGCCCTTGCTGAGAGACAGGCCAGTTGTCATGGCCTTGAGCACTTTGGGGGGGTAAATGCAGACACACATCCAGGAGAGACGGCGCTTCTGGGAGACGTGGCCCAGTGGCCGCAGGCAGAGGCGATGGGCAGGGGACTGCAGGGGGGGAGAGAGGGCTCGTGGCTGTCCCCGCTGGCATCCTGCAGGCTTCCCTGCAGGCCCTGTTGGTCTCGAAGAAAGCCCACCCCTCCAGAGCCAGGCCTCAAACGCGGGCAAGAGCTGGGAACCCGCCTGGTGAAGAAGGAGCCGGAACCAGGGCCTGCGCCCAGAGCCTGCCAGAGCCCGGCGGCCCCCACCTGCGAAGTGAGCAGGAGACTGGGTGAGGGCAGGGCAGTGTGGAGCCCGGCAGGAAAGCTGTGGAGTGCCCAGAGGGCTGGTGAAGGGCCTGGCGGAGCTGTGGCTATCAAAGAGAAAACAAGGGATGAATAACGTCTGGTTTCTAGGCGGGCCAGCGGCTAGATAGGAAAGTGTCCAAGGTGGCCTTCTCGGGGACGTCCTGAGTCTTTGTGCCTGGGGGTCACTCTGCAGAAACCCGGGAGCCTGGAGAGCGCCTGGTGCTTGCCGCAGAGGCGGGCCCTGGCCGTTCTGGGCTAGAAGCAGGAGAGACTGCGTTGTCCCCGGCTGGCTGTCCCCCAGCCTGGTCTTCTCCCAAAGCGTTTCTGATGAACTCAGAGGGGCTGAGCGAAGTCGGGAGGGTCTGGCCAGAGGCCCGCCTTGGAGGCCCAGAACTGGGTCCCAGCACTGCCCACTGCCCGGGGCCATCCCCGCAGCCTGAGATCCTGAGAGCTGCAACCAACCGGCCACACCAGGACAGATGGACAGACAGACCTTTCCGTGGTGACTAGGGGGCAGCCCAGTGAGACCCAGGCCCTTGTCCGGCTCCGTCGGCCTGGGCCCCTTTCCGAGCATGCTGAGGGGTGCGGCTGACACTGCTCCTCAGACTGTGGGCCCAAGCTGGTCGCCTGTCTCAGTGTCCCGGTCACTAGACGTGGTCTGGCCAGTAGAGGAGGTCAGGAAGGCCAGAGCGGGGTGTGGCAGAATCTCAGACCCTCAGCCACCTGCCCCCAAGGGGAGCTGCCCAAAGAGTTTGCTAGGAGCACAAGAGCCAGAGCCGAGGGAGGGAGAGTGAGAACAGCGCCTGGTGATGCCAAGGGTCCTGGGCACCAGCTACCCCAGCCAGGTGAGCTGCTCCAGTCTGAGGTTCTCCAGTCAGGTGAGGCGTGCAGGTGAGGTGGACCTGCCTCCCACCATGTGAAACAGGACCCCACACGAAGCAGGTCAGTGGTCCCCTCACAGGTGCGGTCTTGGTTGGCACACAGACCGCCTTTCCTCACAGGTATAGGTCCTAGTTGGCACACAGAACCCCTCTTTCCTCACAGGTGTGGGTTGGCACACAGACCTCCCTTCCTCACAGGTGTGTGTCTTATTTGTCAGACAAATCCCTTTCCTCACAAGTGTGGGTCTTGGTTGGCACACAGACCTCCCTTCCTCACAGGTATGGGTCTTGGTTGGCGTTCGGACCCCCTCCTGGAAGCCTGCCTCCCAACACCATCTCCTGACCTCCTGAAGAAGCAGCTCGTCATTTCTGTGCAAATATCCTGGCAAACTTCAGGCAGAAGTACAAAGATGTGAGGTTTTGTGAGAAGATTGCAGGCCTGAAGGACATGATTTTCCGGAACTTCTTTACCAGAGAACAACCTCAGGCCTCGGGGCTGCCTGCTTTGAGATCCCTGGAGAAGTTTCGCGCTGGCCTGAGAGTCTCCACAGGACTTCAGAGAGGCCCAGACGTGCAGACGTGGCTGTTGGCTGCTCCCACCACACCCGCGGCATCCTGCATCTAGAAGTGATTCTGGAGTGTTCCACACAGTGCCCTCAGAGAGGCTGGACGCCTGGACATGGGGAATTCTGAAGAAGGGAGCCCTCAACCAGCCGAGAGAGAGGCCATGTTCAGCCTATGCAAGACTCTGACTTCAAACGCCAGAACCATACACGCCTCCACCCCCTCCAAGGCACTATGGGGGTGAAGGGGGATTCCTATTTTTAAAAAAAATAAAAAAAAGGAAGAAAGGAGTATAGGGCTAGAGAAATAGCTCAAGGACTGGAACACTTAATTTGCACATGGGAGGCCCAGGGTCATCCCAGCACTCCATGTGCCCCTGAGCACTGAGATAGGAGTATCCCCTGAGCTCCTTGGGTCTGCACCCCTACAGAAAACAAAGTAATATGCCTGGGCAGTACTTCATAAGCAGTCTTCTAACTGTGAGCATCTGCTGCCCAGTTGCATTTTAAGCAGACAGGAACACTTTTAAGCAATCCCAGTGTGGCCACTTCCCTTTTCTAAAATACACCAGCTGACTAAGGGGCTTTGATTTCAGTCACTGGAAAGGGCCAAGTTTGCACTGGCACCAGGAGGGCACGTGTCCATTCTCCTCGTGTCCCGGCCTGGAAAGTGCCCACATAGTCCCCGTCAGTTGGGCCACACTGCTCAATCTGAGACTCCCCAAAAAAACTCCACTTCCGTCATCAGATAAGTAACAGTTGGGGTTAGGTCTCCACCGCCAGGCTCGGCGTTCCCGCCCTGGGCTCAGGGGCGCCCGCTAGGGTCTCCACAGTCCCGGGCTCCAACTCAAGCCACTCACCAGCCCCGCGGCCTGCAGGGGAAAGAATAACACGGCCAGTGGGCCCGACCGCGCCAGGCTCTCCAGCAGGAAGACACGCACTGGCGTGGCACCTGGGGCTAAAAACACGGGCATCGTCTCTGCCCCCTTCCAGAGCGCGAGCAGCTCCAAGGTGAGCGGAACTCCAGAACACGCTCGCCTGGAGAAGGCCCAGCTCCAACCCTGTCGCCCCACGTCCAGCCCGGATGGACACTCGTGGGGCAGAGGCCAGAGACAGCTGAGCACGGTCACCTCGGGAGAGCGCCAGTGACCGTTCCTGCTCACCCCACGTTGTCCAGTTTTAGATCTCACTCCTCGTGTGTGTGTTGGATGTGTGAGGTGGAGGTGGTGTGTGTCTGTGTGTGCGTATGTGTCTGTGTGGTAGTGTGTGGGTGATGATGGTAATGTGCGTGTGGTGGTGATGTATGTGTGCATGTGTGCATGGTGGTGTGCGTGTGGTGGTATGTGTGAATGTGTGGTGTTGGTATGTGTGTGGTGTCAGTGTGTGTGGTGTGGTGTAGTGCTGGTGTCTGTGTGGTGCTGGTGTGTGTGCGTGTGTGTGTGGTGGTGTGTGTTTGTGTGTGTGTGAGGTGGGGGGTGTGTGTATGGGGGGTGACAGGGGTGTCCTTTCCGATCGTCCCTTTGGCCCTGGGTCCACGTCCAGGCCAGCTGAGGCACAGACAGGCATGTGGTGGGAGGTGCCGAGTGAGTCCTTGTTCCGCCTGCGAGTCCCATGTGGGAGACGCGCGTCCCGCTGGCGTTCCCGGGTGGGAATGCTCGTCAGGTGCTCAGGCTCCGCAGACGTGCTCGGCCTTGCCAAGTTTCTGTGAAGTCGAATCTGGGCGAGAGGATGCGCCTCTTCCTGCGCTGAGCTGACGCATGTGCCGCTTCAGTTTCTGTTCCGTGGAGGAAGTCTTAAGAAACAGCCCCTCGTCCTGCCGAGGACGCGGCCCAGGAGGAGACTCACCGCTGGCTCGCCCAGATGACCATGGCGCAGGGGTTTCAGCAGTGCCCGGGGGCCTCGCTGTCCAATCCCCCTTGTACAGCAGGCGAGAACTTCTGCCGGAGGAAACCCCGTTGCCCTCCAAGAAACGGCCGTGCTCCAGGAGAGCAGACAGCCGCAGGCCTGAGGGAAAGCCTGAGGAAGACCTCCTCCTCCTCCTCCTCCTCCTCCTCCTCCTCCTCCTCCTCCTCCTCCTCCTCCTCCTCCTCCTCTTCCTCCTCCTCCTCCTCT